ATCGAGCTTAGGTAAATTCACCCATACTTTCGTTGTTAACCAGCTATATGATCAGGTCGTACAGCATTGCGCTATTCTCAATCCACCGATGCGGGCAACTACTTCCTCGAGCATTTTCTCTTCCCCCATCGCAAGTTTCAGTAGCTTGTAGCGCTTGAAGGCGCTCCTCATCCGCCCGCTCCATTCCTCATAATTGGAGCCATCCAATGCCTCAATCTTGTATGGTGGCGGCTCATTCCTCTTCTCAGCTGCATCTCCACTCTCTTGATCCATCTCATCTTCTCCCAATCATAGCTTTCAGCTCCCTACTTGCTGTCCACACCGAATTCCCACAATATTTTCACAATTGTCGGCGCCAACGAAATTTCTGCAAAGTTTCCCCTTAGCGGAAGTCACATCCAACCTTTAGTACTCCACTTAACTGTAGCTACAATTCCCAATTTGAATCGCATCAAAATATGAAGTATTTCTCAAGTTATGATTTTCGGCACACTAGGGGGTACGCTAGAGTTGAAATTTAACTCGATTCCAAAAAAATGTTCATCCAAAAACCACACAAGAGAATTGGATTGCTAGAAACCAGGTAGGAGGGGATGAGGAGGACGAGAGGGAAGGTCCCTAGGGAGTCCCAACCAAGAAAATCCCATAAGCACAAAGGATTCCCTCCCTATAGGAACCCCACTTTTACTTTTGTCACTTTCCCAACCTCCCAAATCCACCTCTCCCCAACTTGGCCACACTTGCCAATGTGGTTTGGCTTCTCGCAACCACTTGGCATCATATACAATAGAAGTGACGAATTTTCCCAACCCCCAAAAGTCTATACCCCATATTGAGTCACTCTACCGATTCCCATAGTCGCCGCAACCAAATATGAAAAGCATGCAGACTTCGAACGTTCGTAACCTTTTCATCCGTCCTCCGACCGCGACAATTCTCGGTTCGTCGGGAAGATCTTGGGTAGAGGAGTCATTTCAGATATCTGCTCAAGCAGAATAATATGAACACACATCCACAAAGTCCAAACCACACTAAACACAAACTCTTACGTACGCACATACCACGCATGCAAGGTGGAAAGATAGGATGGGAGGCAGACAGACGTGAATGTGAATGGTAGCATCACATAACACTATTACTGGCCGGGGCTGTTGACTGACGTACAGCACCACCTGGGCTCGGGCCCCACGTGTCAGGTGATGAAGTGTTTGTGCAAACGAAAAGTGAGGCAAATGTAGCCGATCACGCCGCCTGAACGCATAGCAAGTTACAATGGAATTCGTCGGAGGGTTACCTTTGACCCTTGGTAGTAACGACGCGGTCATGGTTGTCGTTGACCGACAATGAAAATGGCCCAATTCGCTGCGTGCAGGACATTGATCTCAGCCAAAGAAACCGTTCGCCTGTTCATCGTGACCGTCGTTCGTCTGCATGGGATGTCAGCCGCGATTATCAGCGATCGCAACACGAAGAATTACCCGCAAGTTCTGGAAAAACTTGTGGGAGCAGTTCAGGATCCGGATACAGTTCACTTGATACCACCCCGAGAACGACCCAGACCATGGAGCAGCTGATCCGTGCCATGTGCGAGGACCCGACAACGTGGGAGCAACAGTTTCAGCAGATCGAAATCGCCTACAACAATGCCACGTCAGCCACAACACAACAGCCACCATTTTACCTGAACTACGGGCAACACCGAACAATGCCCATGAAGCCGGAGCCCGGACAACCTAAACCACGAGCGCAACAATTCGCAGAAATTCTGCAAACTGCCCCAACACGCACAACACAGGCAATCAAGAATTTGGATTAATGGTACATTTCTTGTTTGATCCGACAAAATTAATGTTGTAGGACTAGAATACCGTATAATTTGCCACCACGGCCCCACATGTTTTCCATACCAGTCCACGTCAGAAGAAGACTACTTACCTCATTCTGACTATATTCCAGACGGGCATTTCCTTGAATATTTTTTTTTCTCCTCCTGATTTACATTGCACCTGTTCATATCGACATGTTGAGTCAACTCGGAGATGCATAGGCCTTTCTGTCGCTTCTGGCACAGACAATTTCTATGGAATATATCAACGGAATGGGGGTAGACGGTGGGTCGACGGACCGTCAACCACCATCGACCTGACCAGCGGGCAAAAAAACGAAAACCTTGTCGGATGGCATGCCATCCTAAGGAGACATCAACCCTAAACACCATGCGACAAGGTGTTTAGGGTTGATGCCTCCCTCGGATGGCATACGTTTCCCTAGAGGGCTTCTTTTTTTGCCCCGGGCAGCGAGTTCCTGTCAAATAGTAATCATATGTTTTGTTAGTTTGCTAGTCTACTGTGAGTTGCATAGTATAGGATACACATTTTCCCTCGAAATTTCTACTTGTACCTCTTGCCCTACTAGTCGACCATCACTTCCGCTAGCCTGCTCTTAAGATGGTATCACGTGCTAAGTTCCTAGGCCTAATTAGTTTCTAAACCACCCAAGTTCTTAGTTTTCCTCCCCTCTGGCCCTCATGTCCCTCCTAGTCCTCCAGGCTGCACACCCAGCCAGCTAGGCCGTGCGCACGTGCGTATGTTAGCAGCAGGCGAGAATGCGATTGCAGTCACTCACGCACGCATAGGCAGCCTACGAGCAGCAGCAGTCGAGCGCACACGCACAGCCGCTCGCGAACGTACAGCCATGCACGCATGCACAACCGCACACACACGCATAGCTGCAGCCGCACGCATGCAACTACCTGCAGGCCGCACACGCACAGGCCACACGCGCATGCGTAGCAACAGACCCACGCGCACACACATCCGCCGCGTGCACACACAGTAGCTGCGCACGCACACATAGAAACTGCCGCACGCACGGCAGCCAGCGCATATGCAGCAGCGCTAGCGCCCACATCCGCCAGCAACTGCCGCAATGCTAGCGCCCGAAACCACCAGCAGCAGCCGTAGCGCTAACGCATGCGGCCGCCAGCAGTAGCCGCAGTGCTAGCGCCTGCAGCCCCCAGCAGCAGCAGCAGCAGCGCCACTGGCCATCCACAGCCCCTCCCATCCATGCGGGCCCCGTTTAATGGCTTTAATAGGCATCTGCGAGCCCCATTTAGTCATGCTCAGGAAGGCCCCCACGGGCCTATTCTGTCGTCCTCCTAGCCCACCTCTGCCTCAGTTGGCCTGCCTGCCTTAGCAGCCACGAACGCTCAGCGCTGCGCACGCCACGCTCCACCTGCTGCCCGCACGTAGCAGCGCACGGCTGCTAGCGCGAGCAGCACTAGCTGGAACTTGCCGCCAGCAACAGACTCCAGCTGCCCACAACCTCTTCCTGCCGCCCACAGACTCTCCGAGCCGCCCACAGCCCCTCCTAGCCACCCAACATTGCCTAATTCCGCCCATTTTTTGCCTACAGCCGGGCATAGCCGCCCACAGTGCCCATTGTCTCGTGCACGCCTCCTGCCTCTGGCATCCCTAACGGCGGCGGGCAGCCGCAGTCACTTTTCCTGGCGTAGTTTCGGTTTTGTGCCCCGACTGGAGTTGCTAGCCCGCCTTGCCTAGCGGACTGTTCCTAGGCTGGTGTCTCTTCGTCGGTTGTTCCTTATCCCTCTAGCTTTTCCTAGCTCTAGCAGTACCGTGCTCTAGCCGCTCTTACCTCCAACCACTTCTAGCTCCAGCCGTGCCTAGCTCCAGCCGTGCTTAGCTCCAGCCGTGCCTAGCTGCAACCATGCCTAGCTCCAGCCGCCTTGCTCTAGCTGTGCCTTGCTCCATCTGTGCCCTGCTTCAGCCGTGCCTTGCTCCAGCCGTGCCTTACTCAAGCCGTGCCTTGCTCCAACTGCTCCTAGCTCCAACCGTGCTTAGCTCCGGTCGTGCCTTGCTCCAGCCGTTTCTAGCTCCAGCTACTTCTAGCTCCAACCGCTCCCCGCTCTAGCTGCTCCTATTGCCAGTAGTTCCTAGCCTGGTGTTTCCTCGTTCTAGCCATGTCTAGCTCTAGCTACACCTAGCCTGCCACTCTTACGCCCAGCTTGTTGGAGTAGGCTAGAGCTCGCTCTAGCATTTATTATAGTGTTCTTTTGTTGTTTCGCCATGTTTAGAGCGCGTTCCACTTTCGGTTCAGTTAAGGTTCATTTCTTAGTTTCTAGCACAGACTGAACACACCCTAAGTTCAATTAGGGTTTCCTACATTTGTATCTCGACACTCTCTCTTGTAATAAATTTTCTCTCGCTACCTTCTTTCGCGCCAGCCATGTCCTATCAACTCAATCTTAAAGCCAGGATCTCAAGTAAGCGAAATTGGCTTCAATTGCAAAACAATTGAAGCTCAAGTCACCCTGTTTGTGTAGGCGAAATCAAGTGGTTGGTTTGGAGGTTCAGTGTGCGACAGATTCCCGTTTTGCCCGTCAAGCAACTGCAAAACAAATTGCTGGTACATGAGATTTTTCGGGCGCTGAAACACATTGCTGGTAGTTTAGCTTCGGCACCCAACCAAATTTCCGTGCCTAGGTGGTTCGGAAGCACCCTGCGAATTGTGTTTGCTTCGCATCCCTCGTTTCAGCCCTCGTCAACTTCTCTACCTCGCTAACCAATCATAGCCTAGCTCAATTCACCAACTGCAAAACAGTTGAACTACTTGAGATCCTGGCTTTAACATGGTATGTAGAGCCTAATCGTAGGCATTCCCTTCCTGTTATCAACTACTTCTTAAAGTAATTCGTAGGCCTCTGTAAGGCCTATTCAATGTCACATCTTAGGAAATTGCAAGCTCTACTTAGACTAGTTCCACTCCTCCCTTTCGTGCTTATTTTCGTAGCGCGCCCTGCACCAATTAGTCGCGCGCCCTTCAGCTCTGTCGCGCGACCTGCAGGAACCTATCGTGCGACCTGCAGAAACCTGTCGCGCGACCTGCAGCCACTCGCAGCGTGACCTGCAGCTTCATCGCGCGACCTGCAGGAACTCTTCGCGCGGCCTGCAGTCGTGTCGCGCGACCTGCAGCTTCGTCGCATGACCTGCTGCAACTCGTCGCGCACACCCTCTTTCCCTCCGCCGCGCAACCTGCCCCACCTCCCCTTCCCCTTGCCGCCTGCCTCACCTCGTAGAGCGCGGCCTCTACTGTCGCGCACCCCATCTACCCTCGTGGCATGCCCTACCTTTCCTCCTATAAGCCTCTCTCCACTCCTCTCCCCTCTATCAAGACCCTCCTCCACCCAATCCGCCCCTTCACCCTCCTCCTCTTCTCCCCCCCTCCTATTCCCCCCATCATCGCCCTTTCCTCCGCCTCTATCCTCCTCCCATCTGCTGTAGCCAGCTGATCCTCGTGCTCCCCCCCCCCCCCTCTCTTCCCCTTCAACTGCTCAACAGCACATCCTTCCCTCATTCTCCCTCCGCCTCTTATCTCTCCCCTCCGCTACTGAGCAGCATCTCCGCACATCTCTCCACACTTAGCTCCACGCCTACAAGCCCCTCCCTTCCATGCAATCCGCCCCTTCACCCTCCTCCTCCTCTCCTCTCTCCCTCCTTTCCCTCCCCATCTCGCTCTCTCTCCGCCTCTCTCCTCTCCCCATCTGCCGCAGCTGGTTGCTGACCTTGTCTCGTTGTCGTGCTCCTTCTCACACTTTTCCTCCGCCTCTTATTTCTCCCCTTAGCGGCGCACCAGCCGTCTACTCCAACATTGTTCCTCCTCTTTTTTCTCCCCTCAGCGACGCAGGAGCCGACTACTCCAATATTACCCCTCCTCTTTTTTCTCCCCTCAACGGCACAGCAGCAGACTACTCCGACATTATCCCTCCTCTTTTTTCTCCCCTCAGCGGCGCAACAGCAGACTACTCTGACATTATCCCTCCTCATCTTGTTTCTCCCCTCACCGGCGCAGCAGCAGGCTACTTCGCCGCTATCCCTCCTCTTATTTCTCCCTTTAGCGGCGCAGCAGCAGACTACTCTGACATTATCCCTCCTCTTGTTTCTCCCCTCAGCGGCGCAGCAGCAGACTACTTCGCCGCTCTTCCTCCTCCTCTTGTTTCTCCTCTCAACGGCTCAGCAGCTGACTACCTCACCGCTATCCCTCCTCCTCTTGTTTCTCCCCTCAACGACTCAGCAGCTGACTATCTCGCCCCTATTCCTCCGCCTCGTTTGTCTCTCCACCTCTGCTCCATTGCTATCCCCTTCCCCTCATGGCGCCTATTCTCGCTCTTACCTCTCTTTCTCTGCGTTTCCGCCCTCATCCTCTTTGCTCCGTACCTCCTCTCCTACCCTTGCCTTCTTCACCCTCTACCTCCTCCGCTGCACCTCACTCCCCTTGCACCACCTCTCTTACTTGTCGCTGGACCCCCCCCCCCCCCTTCTCAACCCCCCTGCTTGGATCTCGCTGTCCCATCCGCGGCGCCGCCCTTCTGCCCAGCACGCTCCTGCCGCTGTCATCTCTGGTAATGGTTCTCTAGCCTCAGTTTCCAGTGTGACCATGCCATCTCAAGATAGCATCCTTGGTGCTTCTCCATTAATGGACCCTCGTTTTGTCGTTCCACTGTCTCCACCCCTTCAAAACACCACCCCTCATTCTCCCAGCCCTACGGCTGCCGCTCTCTCACTTCCTCGCACCTTGGATTTTGTCCTTGATAGTGCTGCCACTGACTCTGTCTTTCGTGATGCCGGTATCCTTTGCAATTTTCCTCGTCCCCTCTCTAATGATGGGGCTGGGGAGACCATGACCATGGTCTGCACTGGCACTTCCTCTCTTCCCTGTCCTGCCTCTCCCTCTTGTTATAGTCACAGTAAGCTTCAATGTGCCTAAAATAAAAGATAGAGTGCACAGTCGGATTTTTGCACAGGGGCTTAAAACGTTCATAGCGTTCTAGTCACGGCTTTAAATGAACTAATTCAAATTGGTTCTGGAGCATCTTAACGTCCTCTATAATAGGCAATTTAGATCGTACGATTTTTACCAAGTATTGACGACACAGCGTTGGTTTGAACGAACGGCACTATGGCAGCCACTATAGTCTTAGAACACAAGATAGGAAGAGTTACGAGTTGGGAATGACTCCCAGCTCCTACAAATCCCAGAAGCCGAGGTACAGTGATGTGGAACAGTGCCACACTGTCCCCAACCAGGAAGGGTCTCGAAACTACCCTTCACAAGGGCCTACACCAAGTGAAATGTTACACCACACAAAGTAATGTAACCATTCTCAATATCTTGAGGTGTACCCTTTTTCGCGGGCTTCGCGATCACTTGAATCTTGAAACCAAGACTCTGGTTCTTCACCATAAACTCATCCTTGAGTTCTTGATGGGTCTGCTGCACACACCTGCGACACGCCGAACGTTCGACACACAACAAAATAGAAACCGCGCACGAGAAACACGACGAAATAGAAACCGCGCGCGGGACACAAACGACCGCTTGACACGCGACTAGCGATAACTCGCTATTGACTCGACACACACACACTCGACATCATGACTCAGCATTCACACACTATTATAAGCATGAAATGTATATTATCCCATGCCCTCATGCCATTCCATGCACACACGCATGCACGCACACAGACAACAAGCCGAGTGCAAACCGTAGGGTTGCACCAACACCTCAGGCGCTGTTACTGGCCTTTATGTTCCTTCTTGCCGTCATAACCTCCTCTCCCTTCCTGCCCTCCAACGCCTAGGTGTGCGAGCGCTCTTCCCTGCAGGTGCACTCTATTGTGATCTTCATTACCACGACTAGCGCCTCGTTCGTTTCACCCTTTCTCCCACTACTCGCCTCTACACCCTTCGTGTTCCCATCCCCTCATCTGTCCATCACACTTCTTCTTCTGCCCGTCCCATCTCCTCTTGCGATTGTCGTTCTCTCACCCAACCTACTCTTCTTCTCCTTCATCGCCTTGGCCACCCCAACTTCCCTCTCCTTCGCAGCATGGTCAATTCAAAGCTGCTTCATGATCTCCCTTCCTCTCTCCCGCCCCTTTCCCCGTCTCCCGCTCCTCCCTGCACCCCTTGTGTTCAAGCCAAGCTCTCCCCTATCCTCATCCTTCTTCCCCTTCTACCTCACCTAAACCCCTTGATCTTGTGCACATGGACCTCTGGGGTCCCTCTCCCGTTACCTCCCATCAGGGTCATCGTTACTTTCTCCTTGTCAATGATCACTCTCGCTTTGCCACTGTCTATCCCCTCCGTGCCAAATCTGACGCCCCCTCCCTTATCATTTGTTGGGCTGAGCAGGCGCACCTTTGCTTTGGCCGTCCTATCGCACGCCTCCACTCTGATGGTGGTGGTGAGTTTCTTTAACCACTCTCTCTCTTCTTACTGCTCCTCTCATGGCATTCGCCAAACCTCCACTCTTCCGCATTCTCCCGAACAAAATGGTGTTGCCGAGCGTCGTATTCGCACTATCATGGAGATCACCCGCTGTCTCCACACTCTCTTTGGAGCTACGCTCTTGTTCATGCCACCCTTCTTTCCAACCTTCGCCCTCATCCCCTTCGCCCTTCCATTACACCTTTCCAGCTCTGGATTGGCCGCCTACCCTTCGTCCGCCCTCTTCAAGTGTGGGGCTGTGTCGCTCATGTCCTCATCAATCCCGCCGATCGAGCACGTCAGGGTGGGAAGCTCGCTCCCAAGACGCAGCTCTGTGCGTTCATTGGCATCAACGATGACTGTCATCGCAGCAGCTCATTCGTAGCCAAAATGTTATCTTTGATGAGACTCGTTCTCCATTTCTCACCCCCCCTCCCACCCCTCCTGCTCCCTCTCTTCATTGGTCTGATTTTGACCTGCTGCCCTCTGCTTCTCCCTCTCCTTCTCCCCTTCCTCCTGCTCCTGCTCCGCCTCCCCTCCGTGCACCCTCCACCCCCCCCTCTGCTGTCATCTCTGGCACCTCTCCTCCTGCCTCTTCCTCTTCTGCTCCTATGCCCTCTCCTTCACAACATCCTTCTCCTCTCCCTCTTTCAGCTCCTGCTTCCCCACCCTCTCCCTCACTACCTACTTCTGCTACCCTTCCTTCTGCTCTTGCTCCTCCACCTTCTCCGCATCTCACCCGCTCCATGACCCGTGCAATGTCCAATTTTCAACACTCTGCTCTCTTTACTCGTCTCTCTCCCTCTCCAAACGCCAATCTTGAGATTTCTATCAACCACACATCTCAGAATAGCAAGAAACTAGATCTAAGAAGGTGTGTGGCTGGCGGTTTTAGGGAGCTAAGTCGACTTCGAAATGCTATCAAGCTAAGGTGTGAGGAGCTTATTCTGGCTTTGAGTCAAAGCGATGACGAGAGCTGAAGTGTAGGTGGGTGGGAAGGGGAGGGAAGATGCGTTTCGTACTGTGGGTGGGTGGAAATGGAGGGAAGGCGGCTATCTACACCATCTAATGGCCGTCCAATGGAAGCTTTGTGGCCAGACATTCAAAACACGAGATTCGTCAAAGGTGTCACAAGTCGAACACATGGGTTGGAGGGACACGTGGCAGGTAAGAAATACTTCGCAAGAATTGGGTATCAGTCAAACCTAGTCGAGAAATTTGGGTTATGCCAATGAAAATGCATATTTAAATACTAAGAGTTTCGTCAACAACCTTTCCTATTCAGAACGGAACCGTGCGAATGTAGGAACGTGTGCCACACTCAAACGTGTTTGACACAACTTTGCAATTATGGAACTGTGTTTACAACACCGCCCGTATTCAGCGCCTGCAAACATCAGAGTACAAAACCAGAGCTGAACATTCTAATTCCACAATCACAACATTCTAATTCCACAATCACGCCTTATAGCATCTACTCTAACGTACCTTCCTTTCTAGTTATTGTCAGAATGCTATAATTGTCTAGTCTGCAGTGGGGTACTCTATAGTGAGTACAGCCCAATTTAGGGTTTGCTATATGTATCCTATCTGCTGCTAGTGCAATCCCTCTTCTGCTGTTCTGATTCCTGCTTGCTGTCTTGACATGCTATCAGAGCGAGTACGCTCCTGGCCTATGGGCCCACCTGCTTCCGCTGCTGTCCTGTCTGTCGCGCGCCACAAGGCGCGCGACGTTTTTTTTTCTTCCCGCCACGCGCTCGGGGCGCATGGCGGTTTTCTGCCCGCCGCGCGCTCGGGGCGTGCGGCGGTTTTCTGCCCGCCGTGTACCCCGAGGCGCGCGGCGGTTTACTGCCTCACGCGTCACTCCGGGGACCCGCGCGTCCCCCCCGTCGACCGTCGCGCCGCCCCCTGGGACCCGCGCGTCCCTCCCCGTCGACCGTCGCGTCACCCCGGGGACCCGCACGTCCCTCCTCGTTGACCGTCGCGCCGCCGCCGGGGACCCGCGCGTCCCCCCCGTCGACGGTCGCGTCGCCCCTGGGGACCCGCGCGCGCCCCCCGTGATCCCGTCGCGTCGCCCTGGGGACCCGCGCGCGGCCCCCGCCATCCCGTCGCGCCGCCCTGGGGACCCGCGCGCACCCCCTGCGCTCCCGTCGTGCCGCCCTGGGGACCCGCGCGCGGCCCCCGCCATCCCGTCGCGCCGCCCTGGGGACCCGCGCGCGCCCCCTGTGCTCCCGTTGCGCAGCCCCGTGCCCCCGTGCGCCGTGAAGCTTCTTCCTCCCCGCGGGTGGCGAG